CTTTAATTACATTTTAATGAATAGCTTAATACGTGATTTGATTTAAAGTTAGACATTCTTGCGTTGTCTTTCGGAGACATTGGAAAAGACTAAACGGAATCGCTGAATTAGAAGTGGTTCAAAGCAGCGTTACAAGGTGTGCCACAAATCACAAACTAACAAACAAACAGATATTGAACTAAATAAAAACGTTAAAAAAAAACCCAGGTCCACCAACTTTAATTTAAATTTTCATTGAACATTTTTTTTATCAAAGCCTGAGGACGGCCGAGACTACCAAAATCACGAGTCACTTTACACATTTTATAAAATAAGTTACAAAAAAAAATACGTACAATTCACTAATTCATGTTATAAACCAAAATATTATAGCCTACTGTACTAACTAGCCTACTTGGTAAGTTGGGCTTAATACGGACACATGGTCTACGATTATGTCAATATTTAGTTCACCTAAAACACAAGTTGACATACACATAAAAACGTCAATCTGTGTCAATAATGAACTCTTCACAATCGATTCTAGGTGTATCTTGACTTAGAGAATGATCTTTCTCAAGTTACTTGTGTAGACAATAGTTAAAACAAGTTTATGTATAGTAATCAGCTGTGTGGGACTTCAAAGAAGTTGTAATCTTGCTAGACAGAGGAGATCTAAACAGGACATTTTTTTTTTGCAAAATGTATATGTTTCTCACTCGCATCCACTACTGAGACTTCGAAGACCTCATGTGGTTGATTGCCACTAATTCTCAATACAGCTTTGCATGGCTGTTGGGAACTGGTCGGCCGAAGTAGCATGTACACTAAAAATTTCGGGCATTGGCCACACGTCTCGGCCAATGTGCGAAATGACCGGCCAATTTGAATTCTGGCTGAACATCGGGTTTCGGCCATAATATTGTTTCTAAATTGTATGCTGCATAGGTCAATTCAGATAAGGCTGTAGATATTTACACCTAGATTTGAGACAGGAGTATTCAGTTTTTCACTATCCAAATTGTTATCAAACTTTCCTAAATCTATTCAAACTAACGATTTTTTAAATTAATTGTGTTGGATGGTAAGGGTGAGGGCAATGACGGTGTTTTGACAGCTCCCCTATTGATTTCTTTATATTCATAATACTTCAATTTAGAACATTTACAGCCCACCACCCCAACAACCCTCCATCCTCCGTACCCCTCCTTAAACCTACCCATTTACATCTTAACCCAATGGGTACCCAATCGCTCTGACGCCCTCCACTTGCCCCCCCCCCCCTCCATCACACACACCAAATGCCCCCTCCCCCACCATTATATCTACATTTTCCGCCCATTCACACTACTTTCCTGATAACCTCCCCCTCCCCGTTATCCACAACATGTCTTAGCTAAATCAGTCCCCTTCCCTCACCATACCAACTCCAGTCCCTACCCTTCCCGACCCCATTCCCTCCCCACCCATACTACAATCCCTCCCCACCCATACTACCATCCCTCCCTATCCATACTACAATCCTTCCCCATCCTTTCCCCACCCCTCCCTATCATTCCCCATACACACTACCATCTCTTCCCATCTCTCCCCATCCACACCCATCCCCACCCACACTAAAATCCCTCCCAATCCGATCCCATCCGCACTACCATCCGTCCCCATTCCTCCCCATTCACACTACCATCCTTCCCCATCTACACTACCATCCCTCCCCACCCCTCCCCATCTACACTACCATCCCTCCCCACCCCTCCCCATCTACACTACCATCCCTCCCCACCCCTCCCCATCTACACTACCATCCCTCCCCACCCCTCCCCATCTACACTACCATCCCTCACCATCCCTCCCCATCCACACCACCATCCATTCACTCACCGTCCAAATCTCTGCTTTAACGTCCCTCAACATGACGTCACATGACATACCTGCGACCTATAAATAGCCAACACCTGGGACAGTCAACGTGAAGTCAGGTAAACCACAGCTAAAAGACACTGCAACCAGACGGGATAGTTGGGGTGGAGTGATCGTTCCTTGAACCAAGGGGAATCCCCTATCCCGTGTTAAGAAAGCCTATCCTGGTCTAACAATCTAAACAAAGTACTGTAGCATAACAGGGAGATAATCGGTGCTTTATTGGTAAGTTTGACATTTTTTATATTTCTTTCGCTATTTAAACATCAGGATCAGGTGTAGTATAAATTAAATAAAAACAATAAAATACATTTTTATGTTATAAAGATGCCTTAATACCATCCACAAACTTAATATATGTAAATTTGTTAAAATTTGTTCTGGAAAAACTTTGCAAAAAATTTATTTTTGTTTTTGTAAATTTTAAATTTGACTCTTATTCATTACTAAAAATGTAAGCTAATTAACTTATTTGCTTGATTTTCATGACCAATTACATCTACCATTTCCAGCTAACTATTAAGGGGGCCCTCTACGGTCTCAATTAAAACATTGGACCCCTCGTAAAGCCGCGGGGGACTTGTGGTTTTGACCAGAGGTCGGCAATCTGCGGCTCGCGAGCCGCATGCGGATCTTTGGATGTCAAAATGCGGCTCTCCAGCTCCTTGCATAAACATAGTTATATTATTTCATATTCAAAACAAATGTTACACTATAAAGAAACACAACTTTAAACAGGATAAAAACACTAATTAGAGAACATTGAGAATAGGTGCAGTAGAAAGTATACGGACAGCCGCTTGGGCACCAGACCCAGCCCCACAGCCGTGCTGTAGCCAGCCCCGTGGCAATAATTCCATGCTTGCCACTGCCCAAGTGCTGACTTTTTTGAATATCGTTGAATGGGGGAATGTTATTTAATTCAAATTGCATTTCCCTATCTGTCAGTAATCAATAAGTTGACCTGAGTGACGTAGTTTTTTAGTAATTAGCTTCCTACGGTCGAGCTGGGTACAGGACGGTGGGGTACGAGTTTACCCTGGGCTCTGTGGGGTGGAAGATAAACCTGGTGAAAACCAAAGAACAGAAGCTACCGATACACGGTAATCAAACCGATACCCAAGGACAGTTAGTAGGCGTTTGCCGTGTTGAGGCCTATCTGGCTAATGGGAGACACCTCCAGAGCCGGTAGTGTCAGTAAAGACAGAAGAAAGTTAACAGCTTGGGATCAGAGGCGTAGCGAGGGGGAGGGGGGGGACGGACATATGTCCCCGGGCGCCGACCTTAGGGGGGGGGGGCGCCAAATTGAAAGTTTGAGGGGCGGGGATGCAAATGAAAAGTTCGAGGGGGGGGGTGCAAATCGAAAGTTTGTCCCCGGGCGCCGGGAAGGGTCGCTACGCCTCTGCTTGAGATAGTCCTATAGTTATATTATTACTAATTATTACTATAATGTAATTACTAATTTTATTACTCTGTCGAAACATGTGTATGTTTTTATATGAATAAACATTATTTCATATTTAAAGCTATTTATTTTAAATAACAAATCAAATTTATTTACATAATCCTAATCAAATACCACATATTGAAATAAAAATGTGGCTCTTTAAAAACTGGGAAATTTTGTAAATTGTAACTTTTGGTTCTTCCGTCTCAAAAGGTTGCCGACCCCTGGACTAATCTAGAGGGGTCCCTTTTATACTCATCTTAATTCGTGGGTCATTTTCGGCATTTCATCTTGTTTTGCGCAACTGATAATTTAAGAAAAAAATTGTGATACAAGGATTAAAAAAAAAACAACATAAGGATTATCGAATCGAATAATTCAATACAAGATAACACTAATGACGTCAGCATCGGGAACCCACTGAGGCAATATCCGAGGGTTGTAAATTTTTAAGTGTCGTCAAACAAAGGCGTGTTTATTCCCTGCGGGTAGGTACACATAGTCACGTGATAGGGCCAGTTCTTTTTAATATAAATACGATTTTGTTGAGATTATCTTTTTCCGCGCAGTGCGCATCGAGCGGAAGTTGAGCGACTAAAATAGAATTCAGTGTTTGCACACCTTTGTCTGGCCATTGGTGGGTCGCTTGTTGTGGATGTAAAAAATCGAAGAACTATTCGAAACGGTACCCTTCTGGTCACAGGGCAGCTGAAGTAGGGAAGAGTTCTCCTGGTGGTTTAATGTGTACGGTGTGTGAAGGATTGCAGGCTTCTGCTGTACACAGTTGTACCGTGTGTGAAGGATTGCTGTACACAGTTGTACGGTGTCTGAAGGATTGCTGTACACAGTTGTACGGTGTGTGAAGGATTGTTGTACACAGTTGTACGGTGTGTGAAGGATTGCAGGCTTCTGCTGTACACAGATGCCTCCCCCCCCCCCATCCCAGCCTAATATACTAACCCATGCTGATAAGACTTCGTTTTGTCCTTACGACCTATTTAAGAAAACTATGCAAGTAGATTTAAGGTATTCCAATCGATATGACACTCCCATCTAGGTAGACGTAAAGACCTCACATACCAATCTAGACATCATTCCATCCTAAAGATCTCACGTACCAATCTATGAAGACCACGACGTATGCAGACTTAACAACGTGTGACTGTAACTACTCTATCAAGACAGTAACAATTTGCAAACATTAATTTTTAATAGGTAGAACAACTTGGATGCATAAGAAAATCACGTTATCAGCTTAATATATATCTTCCTGTTTTAAATTTCAGAAATGTTTGACACATGTCAAGTCGTCTTTGAAAGTCTGGACACATGCGAGTGCCGTGGACAACTAGGAGTGCCGTGGACTAGATGTTTTCTGGGACTGTTCAAGCTATAAAAAACCCATGACTTGTGTACACAGAAACGCTGGAAGCCAGGATCTCTAGCAACAGTCAGATAAACGTGTAGGGCTAGGTAGACTAGGCCTAACGACTACCTAGGCCTAACGACAACCTAGGCATAACGACAACCTAGGCCTTCGGACAACCTAGGCCTTACGACAACCTAGGCATAACGACAACCTAGGCCTTCGGACAACCTAGGCCTTACGACAACCTAGGCATAACGACAACCTAGGCCTTACGACAACCTAGGCATAACGACAACCTAGGCCTTACGACAACCTAGGTCTAACAACTACCTAGGTCTAACAACTACCTAGGCCTTACGACTACCTAGGCCTTACGACTACCTAGGCCTAACGAAAACCTAAGGACAAACTAGGTCTAGCAACAAACTAGGCCTGACGATAAACTAGGCCTAACCACAATCTAGGCCTAACGACAAACTCTGCCTAAAGACAAACTATGCCTAAGGGCAAACTAGGCCTAGTAGAAAGTACTAGTCCTTTCATCGGCCGCCGCTGTTAACCTATCAATAGAAACCTCTCCTGGTTAAACATCCGACCTTTGTATTGGAGAAACACGTATAAAAAATCAATTCAACGGGGCTGATCTTTCAGTACACACGGGTCCCACTGACTATAAACGTTTTGGTTCAAAAAGTTGACTACATAAAGCAAAAACTGTCACTCAGATATTCGATCAATGCAGTCAAGAAGGTGAAATCTTCAACTAGTTAGTTTAACCCGCACGTATACGGAGATACTTAAAAAAGTAAACTTCGGAACAAAAGGTTGCAGAAGGAATGTGAAGCAGACGGCAAATATTGGATACCATCTGTGACGCTGTTGGTTGAGTAAATCTGCCAGAGAATGATGAAACGGAAGTGGTATCTGTTGGTCGTGTTCGGGGTAGTCAACGTGATTCTCATGTTCAGTTTCTTTTCCACGGATGTCTTCAAGTTTCAGATCATAGAAAAACTCGTGTTCGTACCTCATCACGTGACTAACTCCACGCATGCGCAGACACCCAACAAAACAAGAGACATGCCTGGTTGTCCAAACCAGTTGGCCGGGATGGCCACGGGTCAATGGGTGACCCGACCTCTGACCCCTGAGGAGAGGTCAACGATTGATACCTACCTGAGAGTCTCTAGGGGCGAGTTCCATATCCCCGCCAGCTACCAGAGGGGGGACGGGCGGTGTGGGGACCTGCCCTACGAGCAGTCGCCGCTCTACAGACACATGTGGTTCAAGGCCATTTGTGATCCTTTCGGCGCCACGCCGTGCTGTAAAACAAACAGGTAGGTTTTGTATTGATACACAGGTAGATTTTGTGGTGATACACAGGTAGGTTTTGTATTGACACGCAGGTAGGTTTTGTATTGACACACAGATAGGTTTATAATGTTACACAGGTAGGTTTTGTATTGACAAACAGGTAGGATTAACTGATACACAGGTAGGTTTTATACAGACAGGTCGACTTTAAATTAACCGGTAGATTTTATATTGACAAACAGATAGGTTTTATACTGACAACTAGGTAATATTGACAAGGTTTTATACTGAGAGGTAGGTTTTATGCTGACAAACGGGTAGGTTTTATACTGATACAAGGTAGTTTTAATATTGACAGGTAGGTTTTATACTGACAGGTGAAATATTTTGCTATTTGTCCAGTTGTCTGCCCCTGTCCCAAGAAGAATGCACGTGCCCCACGTGTTACGACGAACGCCAGGCCATTCACTCCGAGTTCGCCACGTGGTCGCCACATGACGTCACGTGCAGCGTTGAGAACTTTACGTCAGAGCAGGCGTGTCGGACGCTGAACGGCACCAACCTGTACTTCATCGGAGACTCCTTCATCCGGCACGTCTTTGTGGCCATGGTCATCGTTCTGTCCGACAATACCGTAAACGGCGCCCTGAAGAAAAATCTGGCACCCGGTACGGCGTAAGTAGGTCATGGCGGCTTTGTATTCTGGGGCTGCGGGTTGGGAGCATTCGCGACCTCTTTCTGTCGCAGATGGGAGCCCATTTTTATCGGGAGGGTGCAGCAGTTGGGGGGGGGGGCATATTTTAGTATCTTTACCGCGATATGTACCCATCTCTTGTTGCATAGCAGACTGCTAAGGGGGGGGGGGGAATCAACGATAGAGGAAATAAACAAAGTGCTTATATCCTCTCACATCCCGTTGAGGATATATATCCTCTCACGGTTGAGCGTAAATTCGATATTTCTTCAACAGAATGTGAGTGGATATAAGCACCTTGGACATTTCGCACCTTGGCGAAAATAAGCATTTACCTATTGAGACACCTACGGTTCTATAATTAGTCATATAATTAGTCATAGTTCTATAACAGAGGCTGTCAGAGACCTAGAGAATAGGAAATCTTAATTCGATTTTGTTTGCAAAAGTATTTCTCATCATTTTCTATGAGCAGAGGTTTAACGCCCATAAAGTTTTGTTTAGAAACGTTCCCCTAGTTTCATTTAATCCATGGGAGTATAGCATGTACAAGCCTACTTACACTTGTAAAACTCACGTTTTGTATTTCTTATTGAGCGATCTTCCCATTTATCGGGTATTCGAGTTTGTATTATCTCACGTTGGTATCATTGAGTGCTCTGCTGTTTAGAATTTCCTTACTGTTTATTTATGCACGTGCATGTTTTATCTTTCTATTTTGACAATGACGTAGTGAGAGGCATTTAGTTTGTCTTCAGACTCTTCATAATTATATTCGATCACTAGTAGTAAAATATTGAACTTAAGGATCTTCTCCAGTTAAGCCCCATACACAACAGAAAAATATTATTATGATATATGAATCTTCTACTTATTAGATTTTATTGAAAAGGGTGAAAATAGGACGTCATTATTAATTAGCATGAAAAGGTCTGTATTTTGGTACCTTCAAAAATAACCCCAACCCTAACCCTAACCTAAATCCTAATCACTAAAATGTATGTAATATAAAATCAAATTGTTTTATTTTTTTCAATTTACTTTCACTAGTTTAAACATTATTAAATATTAGAAGGATAATTTTACTCATGCAAATTGTGGTTGAAATTTTTAAAAAATACCTTTTCAAAATTTATTACAAGTCTAAAGGGCAGTTACTATAATAAAATTGTCTTAACAATAATTGCGGTTACTTCCCTTGTATGTAAAAGATTGTAAAATGCACACCATTTTCCCAGGTATTAAAGAGAAATGTTCTGGAATGTACCAAATTACGGGACTCACGTGTCGCGATCACCTAGAGGAGGACCATCTTCTGTGTAACAACTCGGTCAGAGTGAGTACATATACAGTCATCTTATTATAACCATCAGTCACATAATCACGACTTGACTTAATCGGTTGAAGCCCTTCAGGAGCAAAGGTTCGCAGATACACCTGTTTGGGCAGCTCTCCTTAGCTAAGCCCACTGAAGCCCCCCACCCCTCTCAGCCCTTGATTCCTCCAGGAATGTTTAGATAGACCCACATTTACTTATCCCCGTGGTTTCATTCCAACGATGGTCTTGTGATGTTGACATATTTTATTCTCAGTGTATGCTCGATCCCTGAGCCCACCCAGCTTTTATGGGTACCTGACTCACGTTAGCAAAAGTAAGAGCGGCTGGGCATAGTGCTGACCACATTATCCCTTCATATACCGAGGTCACTGAAACAAGTAGCTCTATTTCACATGCCTCGTGGAATGGAGTGGCCTAGCGGTAGAGAGCTGGTTTGCTAACCCGTAAGTCTCGAGTTCGAATCTGGGTTCAAGTCAGTAGACCGTCCATGACTCCACCCAACTCTGATAGATACCTAACTCACGTTAGGGAAAGTAAAGGCGACTGTGCATAGACCTGACCACACTATCCCTTCATATACCAAGGTCACAGAAACACGTGAACTCTACTTCACTTGCAAAGTAGACCGTATGGTTTGAAAGGGAACTTTACCTTATGCCCGATTAATACCCATTTGCTTCTTTAAGGGTAGGCATTCTGTATGGTCTAAATTGATTCCCCCCCCCCTTTCTTATTTGTTCCAGGTCCGTTACAGGGAAGTGTTCCCGGCTTCCCAGATTTATGACGCACTTCCGGTTCTGGAGACGCTCCGCGACCAGAGCAACTCCACCATCATCTTCAGCATCGGCATCCATGACGACTTCAACGCCGACGTGGTGATCAGGCGGTTTCTGCTTCCGTTCCTCAACGCCAGACAGTATTACGTCACCAACAACGCCAGCCTTGACCTTAATCACGTGATGACCAATTTCCACAACTGGAAAGTTGACCTCATTAATAAAAATAATTCCGGGAATTTCCATTCATTATACCCGAAACCAAGCGAACTTTTTTATACTCAGTTTACGCAGCCAACCAGCGTAAATCCATTAACCGCCATTTTGAATAAATTAGTAGCTAACGGATCATTAATTTACAACGGAAAACTGTATACCCTCCCACAAAACATCACGGCAAGTCGTGTAAAGGGAGACAAAAATATTTCCGCTAGTGTTGTTCAGGAAAATAGAAAAAATAGAACCGTTTATTTTAAGAATATTCCAGACTCCGCCCACAAGAACACCAGGCCACGCCTCCTATGGCTAGGCGTCCACGCCCCTGGTCTGCTCAAGTCTCCCAAGTTCCAGAGGCAGACGGCAGAGGGGGTGCAGCTGTACAATCAGGAGATCCAGAAGATATTGAATCAGTGGAGCGTGCCGGACTTGCAGACGTTCAACTTTACACGTGGCGTGGTCAGCCATGATGGAACTCATTACGGCTGGGGCATCAATATGTTAAAAGTTAACATGATATTAACGTATTTTAATAAAACCAGTACCTAGAAATTTCAATAATTATTAAATGTATAGTTTGTTGTTTTTAATAAGTATGCAGAGTCCTATGGCTGAAGATTGAATTAAATGGTATAGACTTTGAATGCGTTTTTAACTAAAAAGGATCGTCTTTATATTTTATTCGCACTTCAAATAACAATTATACCAGTTTGCTCATCCTCTACACACGTGCACACGGAGTCAGACCCCAACCCAACCTTTGTCTCCCTATAACCGTGACATTATTATTTACGACATCCTTTGATATAGAAACTATGTGGAGTACGTCACGTTTGTCGGACATATTGTGTTGGATGCTGTTTCGTTGAAAATATAAATTTTAACTAATATCCGACCCCCTCCCCCCACTCCCCGCTCCCGAAACAACGGATGTACATTAATTAGTTATTTATAGAAACGTGTAGTGATGCCGTTTGTAGGTTAGTCAGTAGGGATGAGATAAAATCAAATAAGTTGTAATACCATGATGTCATCCTCACATAGTTTCATCAATTCTGACGTCATCATATCCTGTTTCCTTACAGAGATTACTCATTTAAGGCTACATGACATTATATCCCCCCTCCCCCGTCATGTACCCTCGGATATATATATATATATATATATATATATATATATATATATATATATATATATATATATATATATATATATATATATATATATATATACACATATATATATACATATATATATATATATATATATATATATATATATATATATATATATATATACCAGCCGTCCCGGCCAGGCCCTGCACTGGCATATCTGAAAAACGTATCTGTAAAGGACCATAACTTGTGTGTTTAGTAATCAGCATTTACCCGGCATTTCCCACCCTAACCACAACCAACCAAAAACACACAAAAAACGCAAACATTACACGAACACAAATCAAACATAAACGAAAACACAAAAACAAACGATAAGACAAACCCAACCACAAACACAAAGAAAACACAAACACTAACGCAAACAAAATAGCAAACGAAAACAAATCCAAACGCAAACACAAACCCAAACACAACCAAACAAAACCAAAACACACCAAAAAAAAACACCGCAAACATAACACTAATACAAATACAAACACAAACGAAAAAAAAACGCAAACAAACACAAAGAAAACACAAAGAAAACACAAACGCAAAGAAAAACGCAAACGAAAACAAACCCAAACCCAATTCCAAACGCAAACACAACCACAAACGCAAACCCAAACTCAAACACAAAGAAAACACAAACGCAAAGATAAACTTAAAGTGTCCACAGTATAGCCGACGTGCGGCGTAACCGCCTGATTCAACTTAGTAAACGACTATAGTACCCCACTTATTCATAGTCTTTTGAACTCACTTACGCGAAAGTAGGTACCATAGCGAACACGGGAAGGCCCGTGGCGCCAAATAGCACACTGTCGCGGTGCCGGAGGACGCCCGGATTTGATTCACTTAAAGTCTATAGTAACCTTTATTATCCATAGTCTATCTCACTGTTTTAAACAAAATTATGCACCATAGCGCTCACATGATAGTCAAGGGCGCCAAATCAAACCGTGCAGGGGCGCTGGCGGACGCGCATGTTTCAATTTAGTGAACAAAATTATAATACTCCAAGCTTATCCGTAAACGGAAAGAAAGAAACATATAGGATTTGTAATACCTGACTTATTAACTGTTATTGATTAAAAATGATCAGAAGAAAACGGTACGTTCAGTGTATGGAATAAATAAAAGGCAGTATTAAAAATACCAATAACAATGCACTTAATCAATCCCCGCTAATTATGTAATTATTTTTTTCCTAACACCAAAACAAAGTAATAAAAAGTAAATTCTTTCTCCCTCACCCCCCCCCCCGATTTAATGTTTTTTTAAAGGGAAGTAACTGTGTTTTCCAAATCAAGGGACGTTATGAGAACTAAAAGACAAAATGCAAATACATTCCAGACACAATTTTAGAAATTTTATAAACGTTGATACACTTTTTATTTTATTTAATGTAATATTCACAATTAAAAATAATTATTCTAAGTATATAAAGTGAAAATTTCTTTTAAAGACTTTTAATAGTAATTTTTTAACTCATAAATTTAGACCATGAGCACTTTAATAATCTAACACTTAAATCCATCAAGTATCGTTTTTTTTTTCGTTTTTTCTTATATTCCTTTTGTAATCCTCGATTACAAACATATATGAACTTTGAATGGTAGAAAGAGATACCCACCTCAACCCCCCCCCCCCCAACACACACACACACACTTTCCCACCCCCCCCCCCCCCCCACTCAACCGGACTGGCGGACATTTCAAGGTAGCGTGCCCTCATTGCCAAGGGTCAATTTTATGTCATGGAAAGTTTTGGAATGATAGACCAGTATGAGTATTACAGAGACACGGTCGTTTCTATTTCTGTCCATGGGTGGCTACAGTGTGAACTTTTGACTCCGCAGCACACTAAACTAGGCAGTCAAGAGAAACCTAGTTTGCACACCTTATTTTAATCTAGTTCTTATGCCATTTTATTTTTTCCCTTTGATTATTATATATGCAATTGATGTTCATTGTTCATGTCTTTGATGCTGTGTAAAATCTATCAAATATATTATTATTACTGATTTAAATGTTTAAAACAATTGAATTAATAAAAATAAAAAATCAAAAAAATCTACCCCCTCCTCTCTCCCCCTCTATCCACTTTACCCTGAGACATGATAACCCCACAATCCCTTTAACTGTTCCAACGACCCCACCACCCACCGCAACATCAATATCCAGAACTTATTTAAAGTTCTAAATCTTGTCTCTTTCCCCTCATCTTTCACACTGCAACCTTATGAAAACTCAATGCGACCACTACAACACCCTTTCAACTAGTCAACTTGTTTCCCTACATAGAAAATGCTTCACTGTCCCATTGACCCTCTCTGAAAAATTTCCTTTCCTCTCCCCACCCAGACTTCTGACACTTTCATTTGACCTTCACCCCTTTTACTGTCATCCTTTGCAATTTTTTATAATTAAATACATGACATCATGTAAATATTCATTATGTACATTTGCAAAACCTTTCGTTTTCATTTGGTGTTCAAAATTATGTTTAAAAATTTGATGTTGATGTACTTGTTTTAATTGCAAATAAAAAAAACAAACAAACAGAATTGAACTTTATATTATACGAGCCGGCCCGCGGCATAACATTCGCCGCTATTTAGTTGTTTATAATTTTCAATAATTCATAATTTGTGAATTCGACAGTACCAACGCTGACACTGAAAATATTTCTTTAAAACACTATAAGTGGCTCGTTAAGGACCATAACCCCCCCCCCTTCCTTCCCCCCCCCCCCTCCCCCCCTACGTTTAAAATCGTTGGCTCTGCTTGTAAACATTTAGAGTGAACACAGCTCACTAAAACCATGTAGGGGTGGGGAGGTAGGGAGAGCGTTTGCAGCTTGTTTTCTAACGGCTCGAAGAGGAGAATTATATATATACGAGCCGGCCCGCGGCATAACATACGCCGCTATTTAGTTGTTTCTAATTTTCATTAATTCATAATTTGTGAATTCGACAGTACCAACGCTGACACTGAAAATATTTCTTTAAAACACTATAAGTAGCTCGTTAAGGACCATAACCTCCCCCCTTCCTTCCCTTCCCCCCTCCTCCCCCCCCCCCCCTACGTTTAAAATCGTTGGCTCTGCTTGTAAACATTTAGAGTGAACACAGCTCACTAAAACCATGTAGGGGTGGGGAGGTAGGGAGAGCGTTTGCAGCTTGTTTTCTAACGGCTCGAAGAAGAGAATTATATATATATATATATATATATATATATATATATATATATATATATATATATATATATATATATATATATATATATATATATATATATATATATATATATATATATATATATAAAATAAAAATTAAAAAACTGAACCTCCCCCCCACCATGAGAAGATCTTGGCTACGCCACCGGCGATATTGTTAGATCTCTATCTGATTGATGTTCCTCTTAAAAACAGACATTTAAATTGGTAAAGTTTCAAGTGTGTGACGCTAAGTGAGGATTTTGTTTTTAAATTCCAAAGGTAAGAATAATATAAAATTTATGAAACGGGGACTCGCAAATTTTTGTGTGAATCTTGAAATAGCAGAAATTTTAGATCTCATGGGTATATTTGATACCGCTTGATGTAATGTAAGACAAGTTATTTTCTGACTAGATGCATAGTTTGTAAACAATACTGTTAAACCAAGTAAACGTTTAAAAAACACAGTTAAACCAAGGCAGACGTTTAAAATAAACACCACAGTTAAAGCACGACGATGAAACAAAAGCTAGTCTACCTGGTCCTAATAGGGGCGGCAAGTGTTCTCATACTGTACAACATTTTATCAAAGGACATAACCAACAGTTTCATTACTGGCCGACTTCTCACCTTATTTGGTCAAATGGCTAATTTAACGCATGCGCAGTCGCCCAATAAAACATTGAGCTGTCCCGACCTCCTTGCCGGCATGGCCACGGGTCGGTGGGTGACCCGTCCACTGACCCCCGGGGAGAAGTCGATGATTGACAGTTACCTGAAGGTGGCCAGGAGTGCCTACCACATCCCCAGCAGCTACCAGAGGGACGACGGGAAGTGTGGTGACGTCGGCTACAAGGGATGGACGCAAAGCAAACACATGTGGATCAAGGCCATTTGTGACCCCGATGGCCCCACCCCTTGTTGTAAGACAAACAGGTAGGATTTATTTGGTGTGTTATACTAGTTATAGTGGCATGCTACTTTTTATATATGTATGTCTTATAGTGAAGAGTTTTTTTGTATTTTGATTGATCCGTTTAATGGCCCAAGTTTTGGCCCACAACTGGCTGTATCTTGGCCCACAGCTGGCTGTATCGTGGCCCACAACTGGCTAATGGCTATAAGAGAATGACTTGGCAAATAAATATCATAACAATATTGGACCAACAT